CGGAAATCAAAAACTAGCACCGGTCCTACTTGGCCCTACCCAACTCTAACCTATCCTACCCAACTCTACTCTACCCTACTCTTCTTTACTCTACCTTACCCTACTCTACTCTACTCACCTCACTCTACTCCAGTGTTTTTCAACCACTGTGTATGATATTGTCTGGTGTGCCGTGAGAAATTTGCCTACTTGTTTTGAACTGTGGAGTAACCACGTGGTACTTTTTCATATCAGTAGGTGGCAGCAGATAGCTAAGTACTTTGAAACGTAGGACCTCTGGATGTAACAGGTAGCGGGAGCATTGTGGCGAGAAACATAAAAATTGGACGCAACCGACAGACGTGAGGAGCGAGGAGCACTGTTGCGAGTGAGAAGTGAACGTGATTGAGACGTTTTTGAAAAGGAATTATGCCATTTCTGAACAGGATTCACATCCTCCAACCTGCTGCAGCTGCTTTGTACTGACAGCCGCTTTGACAACAGCTCAGCAAACGCATTCCGTAACATGGTACCGAGCGCGGACCATAGACGCGTGGACAGAACCATGGACGCGCACGGACAGAACCATAGACGCGCAGCCACCATGGACGCGCGGACAGAATCTAATGCCGTGTTCAGACCGATCGCGATGGAGGAGTCAGGGGCGAGTGATTTACATGTTATGTCTATGGCCGGGTGCGCTCAGGAGCGAATGACAGGCCGGCGGTGCGAATGACGAGAGTAGAGCGAGGCGAACAGGGCGTTTTGAACGAAAAGAGCGGAACGAAAGTGGCGAAAGGGGCGTTTGACGCGCGCCTAGAGCCATTTCGCCTCCACCGCCCTACTCGCTCGAGTTGAAAAATCTGAACTTTTTGGTCAATTCGCGGGGCGTTGACCAATCAGGGACTGAATCGAGCAGTGACGTAGCATTGAACCGCGGCGGAGACGAAGCATCTTTTCATTCAACATGGAGGACTCACTGATCGTAGCTGTGTGCCAGCGGCCCGAGTTGTATGACACCAGCAACTATTACTACAGAGACAGGGATAGAAAGGAGCTAGCGTGGAGAAGGGTCAGCGAGGAGACGGGGGTGCCAGGTAATTTTTTTTATTTTTATATATATAATTTTCACTCTACTAGCGTAGCGCTAGTATCCCGCGCAAAATGTGTCGCTATTTACGAGTGTCTTATTTCGTTTCGTATTCTCTAAATTAAGTTACTTTTGGACATGCAAATGTTTTATATTGTATTATGTGCAGTATTGAAATGAGCATGTCACGTTTTAATGCAAATTTAATTTGTACTCGTTTAATTGGGGAGAAGCATCACAGTCAAAAGTGGAAGATAAATCACAAACATAAGCCAATTTATATTTATATCCTATACATTTTCAGAGAGTGCGTGCAAGAAAAAATGGAAAAGTCTGCGGGACACATATCTGAAGGAGAGGAGGAAGGAGTTGGACAGGAGGAGTGGGTCAGCAGCAGGGGCGGTGCGGAGGTGGAGGTTCTCTGCTGTCCTTGCTTTCCTGGACCCATATGTCACCCCTCGTGCCACCACCAGCAACATGGGCCAGGTGGAGGAGGCAGCAGAGGACCTCCCAGAAGAGCCCACCCAGGACCAGGAGGCATCAGAGACTGAAGGTATGCAGCAAAATCTTTCATGAGAAATGTACACCGTAAAGTATGACTAATTTCATATTTGACTGTCATGACAGAGCAATACGATGATGGGAGCAGGCCAGGATCCCCACTGGAGGAAGATCCTGTCCCTGTCCCATCCAGGTCTCCAGTCCCTGGTCCTTCAACCCCTGCTGCTGCTGCACCAACACCCACTCCCATAGGTGTGTACAGGTTACAGTACCAAAAAAAAAAACACACATGCAATAGGCTATACATTAACACACCAACACATGATATTGTAATATACTGTATATATATATATATATGTGTGTGAGTATTTTGACATTGAAGTCTTGTTCCAATTTAATTAGTTACTGTTTTGTTTTTTTCAGGAAAAAGGAGGCGGCCACAACCCCGGGCAGAGCCAACGGCGGTGGAGCAGGCCATTTTATTCGCCCTGAAAGAGCGCCCTGTCCCTCCACCAACGGCCACCCGGGAGTTTAGCCACATAGAGTATTACCTCCTGAGTCTTGCTCCTTCCCTGGAGAGACTGTCCTTCTATGACCTAGAGGTCATAAAAACAAAAATAAATAAAGTCATATTTGACAATTGCACTGTTGTGCTCAATTTGGAACATTCGGCCCAATAGATTTTAAATAAAAGTTTATAGATGTTGGCAGTTTCTCCAGGGAAGGACCAGTTCTCCTTCCTCCTCTCCTAGTTGTTCATTGTTGAAGTGTTCCTTTCTATCCCTGTCTCTCGTCATACAAGTCAGGCCGCAATATTATTTATTTTTGTATTTTTATTTTATTTTTTATAAATAAATCTAGAAAATGTCATTCTACTTGTCTTCTTGCATGCAAACATTTTATATCTAATATATTTCATACATTCATTGTAATATCACAATATGACTCAATCATGCATCTGCAAACCAGGTACATTTATGCATTGGTTGTAATTTATTGTGGCAGACTGAAATACAAGGTTTTCCTTTGGGGCTTGTCTCAAGACATTGTAGTAAAACCATCCCAGCATATACAAAATGATCCCTCCCCCTGAAGAGGACCATGATATAGTTTAACATATTTTAAACCAGGGGTGTGCTTGTAATTTTCAGAGGGGCCACATAAGTAACCGGAATTGAGTTGGAGGGACATGAAAGTCGCTTAAAAAAATATTGCATACACACACAAAAAAAAAACCCACAACATTAACAAAGGGACAGATATCATAAGATCCTCCTTTCTATTCAAAATCAGGTGTTTATCTTTTTCCAGAATGTCCACTTGAGTTCATGTCCTGTCGAATATCTGCAAAAAGAAATAATGACAAAAAGACAAACATTCATAAGCGATTGTATTAAATCCACAGCATTTATAGGTATTAATTGAATAACTCACTGATTGGAGAGGAATGATGTGATGGATGTGAACTGCAGCTGCCTTGGAGGTAAAATCAGTTGGGACATAACATGAGCTTTAATTCACAGAATGTGCGTTGAGTTTGGATGAAGTCCCTGCAAACACAAAGAAAAACATAACAAAAAATACAGTCCACAGTTCATTTTGTTGCAATATAGTTACATTAAAACAGTAGAATGTACAATAGGGCTGAAGTTTTGAAATAAGCTCTTTATGTTTGTGGGTGGCTTTTAAAAAAGCCGTTGTTAGTCCTGAGAAGGACTGGTGGAAATCATTCTGTGGGCTGCCATGATACTGCTCCCTCTGCCATGAAGTACTCTTTGAAAGCATCCCTCACGCGTCTTGCCTCTGTGGAAGAGTTGTTGGCAGCTACCCGGCCCAAACCTTGCAGTGGTACCTCTTCTGCTGCTGCACCCCTCACAGCAGGTGCCTCAGCTCCCACAGAAGCCCGCATGAAATTGTGAAGCACACATGTCGCCTTCACACACTGCTCCACCACTTCAGGACGCACCTCAATGATGCGTCGGTACCACCTCCACTGTGCGGTCAGGATGCCAAAGGCGTCCTCCACAACAAGGCGGGCCCGGGAGAGGCGGTAATTAAAGACGCGTTCCTCCGGGGGAAGGCCACCACGTCCGCGTCCAGGGAAAGGTCGCATCATGTTCCTCCTCAGCGGGAACGCCTCATCAGCCACAAATACATGAGGCTGAGGTCCTCTGTGCTCAGCATCAGGCAGGTGTTGGTCAGCAGGCAGATGGAGTGTGCCAGCCCGCAGACCCTGACCAAAAGCTGAATTGGACAGAATGCCGCCATCACTGGTCCTCCCATACCCCCCAACATCGATCACCCGGAACCGGTACCGAGCGTCCACAACAGCCAGGAGGACAATAGAGAAATCCCCCTGGTAGTTGAAGAACTGGGATCCTGAGTTGGGGGGCGCTGCAATCCGGACGTGCTTGCCGTCCACTGCTCCACAGCACAGAGGGAAGTTCCATCGGTCTTGGAACTCTGCAGCGATGGACAGCCAGTCTTCAGTGGAGGGCACAGCCATAAACTCCTCCACAAGACAGTGCCAGATAGCAGCCACCACCTGAGGGACAATGCCGCTGACAGTGGAGACACCTACCCGGAAACTGTATGCGATAGTCCTGTAGGAGTCCCCAGTGGCAAGATATCTATAAAAAAAGAAAAACACAGGGCAAAATTATTAACTCTACTAAAGGATATTGATTTTGTTGCCAAGTTATACTACTTACTTGTAATTTACTTTAAATAAAGTATTTAAAATGATTTTATCAACCATTACTAATGCAATATCATAATTAAGGCCCTTCTGCAAACCCAGGTAATGTGGTACTACACAAGAAACACTAGATAGCGCTATTTGGCTGTTTATTGCAATTTTCTTAATCACAGTCGGTTGCAACATTTAGTTATCTAACCTAATGGACTATTAATTATCTAACCCCCACCTGAAACGAGCTTATCGTGTCTAGTTTGGCATAACTAACTGATTAGTTTGGCATAAATCTAAAAGCTAAACAGTGGCACAATGGCTTTACATGTAAAGTACTTGGATTATAACATTTGGAATCTTATTTATTGAGAACCGCTTGATTTACTAACCGAAGACAGATGGACAGGCGCTCTGCAGGGGAGATAGAGCGCCTGTAGTTGGTCTCCCGGACGGTGATCCGAGCCCCAACGCGGGACAGCAGGTCCTCAAACTGGGTCCTGGACACACGGAAATACCGCTGGAATCGACCGTCATCCAGGCGCAGCTCCTGGAGCAGATGGTGGTACTCCCCATATTGGGAGCGTCTCTGGAGGATATCGTGGACCCAGAGACGGCGTCGCTGCCGCCGCTGTTCGGCTTTCCACATTAAATAAAGTATAGTGACTCGTTCCAGAAAATCAAAGCCCGCCATGCTGAGTTGAACAACAACCGGAACCGGCAACTGGCCATAAGCTCCTCCTATTGGATGACGCGGCGAGGCGAAATCTCGACGAAAATCCGCAGGCGAACAGAGCGAGTAATCGCCGCGATAGAAGCGAGTGTCATCAAATATTCAAGCGAAAAACGCCTGGCGTTTGATGCGATTTTTTCGCCTCCATCGCGATCGGTCTGAACACGGCATAAGGTTCTAAGGCTGCGTAAAACGTACTATGTATCCATCCAAACGTGTCTGTTTCATCTCTGTTTCTGTTTTCTCCATGAGGGTGAGAGGGAGGGGCTCCACTGTCCGCAACATGCGTCCGTATGACTCGCGTAGGGAGCAATGCGTCCACGCACGGTGCAACGGACACGGACGGACAAAATAGTGACAATCCTATTTTTTATGTACGTTGACGTGTGTATGGTCCGTTTTCCAGTGGAATTACAAAGGAAAAATGTATTTACTACATTATTATACATGCATTGATATATGCTGTAGTCCTTGGTTATAAGTGTTTGTTAATGACAATGATTATTAGATTAAATAAAATTAAAATAATGGTTTCCCCACAGTTAATCTGCCGTTTATTTTTCGCGTAATGTCAATTTTGTCTCGCTTTCAAAAAAGCCTGATATGTTGGAGTTCCTTTCTCTCTTCACCCCTTTTTACCAATTGCTCTCAATAAGTTTTGCGACGTCCTCCATGCTTCTATAGTGCCGTGATTTGCATAGATCATAGCCACAGCTCATGAAAATCACACACCGCTTCTTTTATTTGGTTGGGCAGCTTTAACACACAGTTAGAGCTGCGCGCTGCTGAAGCCGGTGTGGCCACTATTCCGTTTTACGCACATCTGACGGGCAGCAGCCTACGCGCGCAAACGGAGACGCGGCCGGTGGAGTCCAGCACTTTATGCCGTGTTCAGACCGATCGCGATGGAGGCGAAAAAATCGCATCAAACGCCAGGCGTTTTTCGCTTGAATATTTGATGACACTCGCTTCTATCGCGGCGATTACTCGCTCTGTTCGCCTGCGGATTTTCGTCGAGATTTCGCCTCGCCGCGTCATCCAATAGGAGGAGCTTATGGCCAGTTGCCGGTTCCGGTTGTTGTTCAACTCAGCATGGCGGGCTTTGATTTTCTGGAACGAGTCACTATACTTTATTTAATGTGGAAAGCCGAACAGCGGCGGCAGCGACGCCGTCTCTGGGTCCACGATATCCTCCAGAGACGCTCCCAATATGGGGAGTACCACCATCTGCTCCAGGAGCTGCGCCTGGATGACGGTCGATTCCAGCGGTATTTCCGTGTGTCCAGGACCCAGTTTGAGGACCTGCTGTCCCGCGTTGGGGCTCGGATCACCGTCCGGGAGACCAACTACAGGCGCTCTATCTCCCCTGCAGAGCGCCTGTCCATCTGTCTTCGGTTAGTAAATCAAGCGGTTCTCAATAAATAAGATTCCAAATGTTATAATCCAAGTACTTTACATGTAAAGCCATTGTGCCACTGTTTAGCTTTTAGATTTATGCCAAACTAATCAGTTAGTTATGCCAAACTAGACACGATAAGCTCGTTTCAGGTGGGGGTTAGATAATTAATAGTCCATTAGGTTAGATAACTAAATGTTGCAACCGACTGTGATTAAGAAAATTGCAATAAACAGCCAAATAGCGCTATCTAGTGTTTCTTGTGTAGTACCACATTACCTGGGTTTGCAGAAGGGCCTTAATTATGATATTGCATTAGTAATGGTTGATAAAATCATTTTAAATACTTTATTTAAAGTAAATTACAAGTAAGTAGTATAACTTGGCAACAAAATCAATATCCTTTAGTAGAGTTAATAATTTTGCCCTGTGTTTTTCTTTTTTTATAGATATCTTGCCACTGGGGACTCCTACAGGACTATCGCATACAGTTTCCGGGTAGGTGTCTCCACTGTCAGCGGCATTGTCCCTCAGGTGGTGGCTGCTATCTGGCACTGTCTTGTGGAGGAGTTTATGGCTGTGCCCTCCACTGAAGACTGGCTGTCCATTGCTGCAGAGTTCCAAGACCGATGGAACTTCCCTCTGTGCTGTGGAGCAGTGGACGGCAAGCACGTCCGGATTGCAGCGCCCCCCAACTCAGGATCCCAGTTCTTCAACTACCAGGGGGATTTCTCTATTGTCCTCCTGGCTGTTGTGGACGCTCGGTACCGGTTCCGGGTGATCGATGTTGGGGGGTATGGGAGGACCAGTGATGGCGGCATTCTGTCCAATTCAGCTTTTGGTCAGGGTCTGCGGGCTGGCACACTCCATCTGCCTGCTGACCAACACCTGCCTGATGCTGAGCACAGAGGACCTCAGCCTCATGTATTTGTGGCTGATGAGGCGTTCCCGCTGAGGAGGAACATGATGCGACCTTTCCCTGGACGCGGACGTGGTGGCCTTCCCCCGGAGGAACGCGTCTTTAATTACCGCCTCTCCCGGGCCCGCCTTGTTGTGGAGGACGCCTTTGGCATCCTGACCGCACAGTGGAGGTGGTACCGACGCATCATTGAGGTGCGTCCTGAAGTGGTGGAGCAGTGTGTGAAGGCGACATGTGTGCTTCACAATTTCATGCGGGCTTCTGTGGGAGCTGAGGCACCTGCTGTGAGGGGTGCAGCAGCAGAAGAGGTACCACTGCAAGGTTTGGGCCGGGTAGCTGCCAACAACTCTTCCACAGAGGCAAGACGCGTGAGGGATGCTTTCAAAGAGTACTTCATGGCAGAGGGAGCAGTATCATGGCAGCCCACAGAATGATTTCCACCAGTCCTTCTCAGGACTAACAACGGCTTTTTTAAAAGCCACCCACAAACATAAAGAGCTTATTTCAAAACTTCAGCCCTATTGTACATTCTACTGTTTTAATGTAACTATATTGCAACAAAATGAACTGTGGACTGTATTTTTTGTTATGTTTTTCTTTGTGTTTGCAGGGACTTCATCCAAACTCAACGCACATTCTGTGAATTAAAGCTCATGTTATGTCCCAACTGATTTTACCTCCAAGGCAGCTGCAGTTCACATCCATCACATCATTCCTCTCCAATCAGTGAGTTATTCAATTAATACCTATAAATGCTGTGGATTTAAATACAATCGCTTATGAATGTTTGTCTTTTTGTCATTATTTCTTTTTGCAGATATTCGACAGGACATGAACTCAAGTGGACATTCTGGAAAAAGATAAACACCTGATTTTGAATAGAAAGGAGGATCTTATGATATCTGTCCCTTTGTTAATGTTGTGGGTTTTTTTTTTGTGTGTGTATGCAATATTTTTTTAAGCGACTTTCATGTCCCTCCAACTCAATTCCGGTTACTTATGTGGCCCCTCTGAAAATTACAAGCACACCCCTGGTTTAAAATATGTTAAACTATATCATGGTCCTCTTCAGGGGGAGGGATCATTTTGTATATGCTGGGATGGTTTTACTACAATGTCTTGAGACAAGCCCCAAAGGAAAACCTTGTATTTCAGTCTGCCACAATAAATTACAACCAATGCATAAATGTACCTGGTTTGCAGATGCATGATTGAGTCATATTGTGATATTACAATGAATGTATGAAATATATTAGATATAAAATGTTTGCATGCAAGAAGACAAGTAGAATGACATTTTCTAGATTTATTTATAAAAAATAAAATAAAAATACAAAAATAAATAATATTGCGGCCTGACTTGTATGACGAGAGACAGGGATAGAAAGGAACACTTCAACAATGAACAACTAGGAGAGGAGGAAGGAGAACTGGTCCTTCCCTGGAGAAACTGCCAACATCTATAAACTTTTATTTAAAATCTATTGGGCCGAATGTTCCAAATTGAGCACAACAGTGCAATTGTCAAATATGACTTTATTTATTTTTGTTTTTATGACCTCTAGGTCATAGAAGGACAGTCTCTCCAGGGAAGGAGCAAGACTCAGGAGGTAATACTCTATGTGGCTAAACTCCCGGGTGGCCGTTGGTGGAGGGACAGGGCGCTCTTTCAGGGCGAATAAAATGGCCTGCTCCACCGCCGTTGGCTCTGCCCGGGGTTGTGGCCGCCTCCTTTTTCCTGAAAAAAACAAAACAGTAACTAATTAAATTGGAACAAGACTTCAATGTCAAAATACTCACACACATATATATATATATATACAGTATATTACAATATCATGTGTTGGTGTGTTAATGTATAGCCTATTGCATGTGTGTTTTTTTTTTTGGTACTGTAACCTGTACACACCTATGGGAGTGGGTGTTGGTGCAGCAGCAGCAGGGGTTGAAGGACCAGGGACTGGAGACCTGGATGGGACAGGGACAGGATCTTCCTCCAGTGGGGATCCTGGCCTGCTCCCATCATCGTATTGCTCTGTCATGACAGTCAAATATGAAATTAGTCATACTTTACGGTGTACATTTCTCATGAAAGATTTTGCTGCATACCTTCAGTCTCTGATGCCTCCTGGTCCTGGGTGGGCTCTTCTGGGAGGTCCTCTGCTGCCTCCTCCACCTGGCCCCATGTTGCTGGTGGTGGCACGAGGGGTGACATATGGGTCCAGGAAAGCAAGGACAGCAGAGAACCTCCACCTCCGCACCGCCCCTGCTGCTGACCCACTCCTCCTGTCCAACTCCTTCCTCCTCTCCTTCAGATATGTGTCCCGCAGACTTTTCCATTTTTTCTTGCACGCACTCTCTGAAAATGTATAGGATATAAATATAAATTGGCTTATGTTTGTGATTTATCTTCCACTTTTGACTGTGATGCTTCTCCCCAATTAAACGAGTACAAATTAAATTTGCATTAAAACGTGACATGCTCATTTCAATACTGCACATAATACAATATAAAACATTTGCATGTCCAAAAGTAACTTAATTTAGAGAATACGAAACGAAATAAGACACTCGTAAATAGCGACACATTTTGCGCGGGATACTAGCGCTACGCTAGTAGAGTGAAAATTATATATATAAAAATAAAAAAATTACCTGGCACCCCCGTCTCCTCGCTGACCCTTCTCCACGCTAGCTCCTTTCTATCCCTGTCTCTGTAGTAATAGTTGCTGGTGTCATACAACTCGGGCCGCTGGCACACAGCTACGATCAGTGAGTCCTCCATGTTGAATGAAAAGATGCTTCGTCTCCGCCGCGGTTCAATGCTACGTCACTGCTCGATTCAGTCCCTGATTGGTCAACGCCCCGCGAATTGACCAAAAAGTTCAGATTTTTCAACTCGAGCGAGTAGGGCGGTGGAGGCGAAATGGCTCTAGGCGCGCGTCAAACGCCCCTTTCGCCACTTTCGTTCCGCTCTTTTCGTTCAAAACGCCCTGTTCGCCTCGCTCTACTCTCGTCATTCGCACCGCCGGCCTGTCATTCGCTCCTGAGCGCACCCGGCCATAGACATAACATGTAAATCACTCGCCCCTGACTCCTCCATCGCGATCGGTCTGAACACGGCATTAGATGCACAGACAGAACCATGGACTTGTGGACGGAGCCATAGACGTGCGGAAAGAACCATAGACGCGCAGACAGGACCCTGGACTCGTGCACAGGACCATCTCCCGAAGCACAACCAAAACTCTTGAATTTAAAGCTCAGATACCCACATTTTCTCCATGTATTAGTATTAGATAGCAATATGGCCTACGTGCAGGACTGTACAAGGACTCTACAAGGACTCCATGTTATGACTATGATTTGACTGTCTCTTTGTGACACGTATGTCTTTCGATGTGTGACGTGACAATGACTATATAAACTGTGTACTGCCTTTATTCTGTCTGAGAGAAAGAAACAGAGTAAAACAGTGGAACTGGAGAGAAACTTAAATAAACTTCCAGAGTTTGGCACACCACGATCCGTCTCTGTCTGCTAAATCCTAACACATGCATTAGCAATGCATGTTTTTTGTGCACAAAAGTAAAATGTTTTGAACAATACAAACTGAACACGCAACAGGCCATTTTTTGCATATTATTTTGTAGATAAATAGGCCCTGTGAGTCATTTTTTGACTTTTTGGGCTGAGAAAGGATTTTTTTTATGTTTTTTTTCCCACACAGTGCTACTTTAATCCCCTAACTTATTGTTAACTCATTGTATTGAGAAATAATAAACAAAGCTTAATGTCAAGGCCTGGATTTAATAAGCACTTTGAGAATTACTTTATATTCTGAATATAGGCTACAGAGTACATATTTTTACATTTTCTCCTGGTGGTGTGCTGCGAGATGTTTAAAGTAAAAAAAAGTGTGCCTTGGCTCAAAAAAGGTTGAAAAACACTGGTCTTACCATTCCTTAAACAAAACTGCTTTCCACTTTACTTTCATTTCTGCAACACACTTCCTCCTTCTGCAACATACTTTCTACTTCTGCAACACACTCTCTCCTGCTCACTACACACTGTGTCATACATGAGACACACATCTATTCAAAACATATTGTGTGATAGAAAACACTGAGACACACACTTGAAAACACTGAGACACACACTTGAAAACACTGACTTACAAAAGATGACACACATCGGCCAGACATAAACAGGCCTCAGTTTAGCCATTTTCATAAATTGGCAAGTATGGAGGCAGCAAGAGCAAGTGGTAGAGGAAGAGGAAGACAACGAGGGAGGAGGAGGTCATCGTTGAATATATTTCTGATGACATTAGAGCAACTTTGGTGGATCATGTGATCAATCATGGCCTCACAAATTGGGAAGTCCAGCCACAGCTCCATCATCAGAACCTTCAGATGGAAACATGTCTTCAACTCTGTACTGCAGACCGTATCTACAGTATTTACAGTACTTTATCGTATCACATATTGTATTGCACTGTATTGCAAGTTGGCAGTATATAATACTGTAAAAAAGAACTGAACCTACAGTAACATTTTGTGGATGCATATTTATACAGAATGATCAGAAGATCCTCTGCGAGTGGTCAACAACTGTTCACCAACAGCAGGAACTTGCCATTGTGGAAATAGTCCAAGCAGGAACCATGATCCATAATCCACCCACGCACAACTGCCTAGTTTTACACTAGGGTTTTTTGTGTTACTGCATTGACTGTAAACGGTTTTTGATAAACCTTTAGCCGCGTTTCCACCGCAGGAACTTTGGGGTAATTTTCCAGGGCCAGCCTCGTCGATGCGTGTCTCCACAGCAGAAACCTCCCCCACAGGGCCATTTACAGGAACTTTTACGGGGGCCCAACGGAGTACTTGCTCCATGCTAGGTACTCCGTTGGGCCCTGGTGGGACTTGAGGTTTACCCGCCGCTGATTGGCTAAAGCTAGCGCAGGCTCTGACGCCAGTAGAAAGCACCGAAACAACCGGCATTATCTCAGCAGCACTAGCCTAGAAGCGTTAGCTCAGCAGACACCTCTGGAAACAGCAAACAACAGTACAGCATCGATTCAGACGAGGTTTGAGGCTGAAAAGATATATTAGCTTCACCTCGAAGAACTGGGGATTCATCACACTTCAAAAGAAGCCGTGAAAAATAAAAATAAAAACTGAAGCAGGACTATAAAAAACCTCAAAGACCATAACAACCGGAGCGGTTTCGACCGAAAAATAATCAAATGGGTTTGGCGTAATGAGTTTCGCGGATGCGGCAATCAAAACTCATGACGTCGCCGAGTGGTCCTACTCTGCAGTGGAGACACGGACACGGACAGGACCAAGGAAGAGGACAGTTCCGGTAAAAGTTCCACCCGCTCCTTTGACCAGGATCTCCTGCGCTGGAAATGCGGCTTTTGCTGAGAACAAAAAAAGCTCTATTGAGCTTCACAGAGAAAAATAAAAATAAACACAGTAAAAACAGTGAACATGAAATACTGCAGTGTATTCACATTATGCATGTGTGTATCACTTTGTCCTCAGAGCTTCATTTTGACAAATTGTTGTTTTGTTTTGGTAGTAGACTTTAAGTTTTAATTTTGACCCAGATGTGAATGGTACATGTCCCAGTGTTTTGCCAGATGATCTTATATGTAGAGTTTTGGGACAATGAGTGATATTTTGCAAAATGCAATAGGAAAAACTGTACAAATACAGTTTGTCCCTAACCCCAGATCAGAGGAGGTCAGAATAAAGGCTTTTGAAAGCAAATCACCCAAACACATTATGAATGACTCCGATTGTGGGGGTCACATGGACAGAGTGGAGGAGGACGAGCAATGTGCAAATATAAAGGGTTCAAAGTCTGTCACACGCACTCAGATTCACACACACACAAATTTACACGCACACACACTCACTCACACGCACAGTCAACACACAGACACACACGCACCCACACTCACATACCCTTACATAAACACTCATAAATACATTTTAACACATACATGTGAATATATGTCTAGCCCCGGCGATCCAAGACGGCGCCCTATTCAAATCAAGGCTTGTGCTCAGTAGCGCATGGGACAGCCATGGGGACTGAAAGAAAAGCAGAACTCGCCCATGTTTGGGCATTGTCTGGTCCTCCTGGTTCTGCGCAGTGGACTGGCTCCCATGATGTGTTGCATACAGGAGCCCCACTCCCCTGCTCTTCTCCCTGTACACCAACCACTGCACCTCCAGCCACAACTCCATGAAGCTGATCAAGTTCGCGGACGACACCACCCTCATTGGACTCATCTCCAACCACAATGAGTCCGCCTACAGGATGGAGGTGGACCGGCTGGTGTCCTGGTGCAGTGGTAACAACCTGGAGCTGAACGCCCAGAACACAATAGAGATGATTGTGGACTCAAGTGGGAGCTGAGCATCAGCTCCCTCATCAAGAAGGCCCAGCAGAGGATGTACTTCCTGCGGCAGCTCAGGAAAGCCAAGCTGCCTGCACAGATGTTGGTGCAGTTCTATACGGCCATCATCGAGTCCATCCTCACCTCCTCCATCACCGTGTGGTTCGCTGGAGCCACTGTCAGGGACAAACAGAGACAACAGCGCATCGTGCGCTCTGCAGAGGAAGTGATTGGCCGCAGCCTCCTATCGCTGCAGGACCTGAACAACGCCCGAGCTCGAGGCCAGGCTGGTCGTATCACTGCTGACCCGTCTCACCGTGCACATGGACTGTTCCAACCACTCCCCTCAGACAGGAGGCTGTGGTCCATCAGGACCAGAACCTCCCGCCTTAAGAACAGTTTTTTTCCCTTCTGCTGTTGGACTCCCTTCATAAACCATCCCTGACCGCTGACCTTATGACCGTCACTTTATGCTACTGTCACTTTACTGCACTCTACCCCACTCTAAACAGTCTATAGTGTGCACCTATAGTGCACTTGTATATAATAAACTCAAGACATTTATGTAGATATTTTATCATGCATGCCTTTGATTTTAATCTGCTTAACTTGTTTGCACCAAGAGCCAAAGCAATTTCCTAGTTTGTGACTTCATGTTACTCACAAGGCAATACAAGGATTCTGATTCTGATTCTACTGGACACCTGAATTTCTCCTACAAGGCCTCATCAAAGTATCTATCTATCTATCTATCTATGTGAGGTCTGTAACACGTGTATGAAGTGAGGTTTGAAACACAGTTGTAATGTGCGGTCTGTAACACATGTATGAAGTGAGGTTTGTAACACAGGTGTAATGTGCGGTCTGTAACATATGGGTAATATATAAAATATTACTGAATGATCCAGCCTCTGTATGGGACTGCTGTGGTGAAGAGGGAGCAGCATCTGCAGTCAGAGCTATCTTATTCTGCATTGTTTTAAATTACTGTGAGGTCAACAATATCCTGAATACAGCACATACTTGGAGAGACAGGAGCACGGCGTGGCGTTTTTAAAGCGAGGTCCTTGTAAGGCCCGCCCACACGGCCCTGTTGACACAGCGCCTTCTCAGATCTGTGACAGACGTCGCTTCGCAGACGTAAACAATGAACAGAGCGCTGTGCCGAGACACGCAGGCCTCACTCACACCTGGACCAGGAGGGAGTCAAGTTTCTGCACCTGGGAACCCTGCGTGGGACCAGACCTGAGACCAGACCTGGAACCAAGGACCAGAACAGGATCATGCACAGTTTCTGTATTTGCAAAATATCCGGGAATCATAATGTGTCAGTGAGAAATGTGCCGTGTTTATGTTTGAAGAAAGAGGAGTGCTTTGATGAACACACCAAAGTCCATTGAAAGAGAAAAATAAGGCGTAAAACAAATGGAAAATATAATCTTGAAAGGATGATTCTAAAGTTTGTAGAGATAAAAGAGTAATTTCCCTGATTCTGACTTTGTTTCATCTCCAGTTGTGACTCATGGAGACACTGACCTCTGGTACGAGACACAAGGGCTCATTCAGAGTGTGTGTGCGTGCGTGAGTGTGTGTGTTTATGCAACTATGTGTTTGTCTATGTACTCTATGTGTGTGTGCGTGTGTGTGTGTGTATCGGGTGTGTCTAAATGCGTATATCCAGGGGAGCCTTCAGGGGATCAGGTCACGGTCAGGGACGTAGCTCGACCTGTATCCCCAGAGCTTATGTCCCCGTTTAAACAGAGGCTGAGTCCGTCCCATCTCAACCAATCTGTACCAGTCCGTACCTATCTGTGCCAGTCCATGATCCCAAACTGTGCCAGTCCATCCCAGTACGACTCATATCAGTCCCATATGAGCATTCTCTGTCCGTGCTTCTTGGCTTTGGAACGACCTGCCCGCGGAGATAATTGGGGTAGCATCATCAGTGTCCTCTTTTAAACCACTTCTTAAACCACTTTTATCGAACAGATTTTAAATGTTAGTTTTAAACTTCACGTGTTGTTTTTTACTGTCTGCTTTGTCTTTGTTTTGTCTGTCTTAATGCGTTTCCTATGTCTGCTTGGTCTTCCTGCAACTACTATTCTATCTAATTATTTTGACTTTTTATTATCAAGGTTCATAGGTTTTTTTTTGTTTAGTGCTTGTTAAACATTGATTTTGAAAAGTGCTCTGCAAATAAAAATGTATAATTATTATGTACAGAGTCCCATGAGAGCTGCGGAGGTCTGCAGCTCCTCCAGAGGGACCATGAGCCTCGTGGATGCATCTATTTTGTTTTGGTCAGTAATCTAAATGTCTCTGTTGTAACAAAATGCGAGAAAATAATATAAATATTTTTGCACACACACTGCATGCACACACGCGCATGCACGCGGTCATGCACACACCGCTCATTACTGTACGTGACGTCACCTCCAGGCCCCTCCCAACGCACACACACGCACGCGCTAGCTCACACACGCACTCGCACAGACTGCTGTCACACGCGCGTCCGCAGTTTGCGTCTCTTTCGGAGCTGATTCGCGCGGGACACACGCAAGATGCTGCGAGGAAAACTGGTAAGACCATCGCATCAGACCTGCTCGGACCTGCTTTAGACCTGCTCTAGTCCGGTTTAAGACCTGCTTTAGACCGGGTTTAGTCCTGCTTTAGTCCTGTTTTGGTCCTGTTTAAGTAATGCTCGGAGGTATCGACCCGCGCGGCGCCCTTTGGTCAGGACATTGGGAACAGCAGCTTGGCGCAGTCTGCGTCACACGGGTCTGTGTTCAACTGAATCTGGAAAGATTTGAGGGGTACTTCGAGTTTGGTGAGTAGGCAAGATTATTAGTATAGCACAGTTCATACACAAGGCAAATCAAAGTGCTGAACAAGACTATAGAAATCTTCACTCAAGGCATCACAATCATAAATAATCTCAGTGCATTTAAACGAGTGGAGATACAATCCTTCAGTTGTTGCAGCAAAACAGCACTGTTTTTAAATTGGATTTGAATAGTGTCAAACTCATGGGCATCAGCAGGAGGCCAGTCCCTGTGCTCCTCAGAGTCCCAGCATGAGGCCAGTCCCTGTGCTCCTCAGAGTCCCAGCAGGAGGCCAGTCCCTGTGCTCCTCAGAGTCCCAGCATGAGGCCAGTCCCTGTGCTCCTCAGAGTCCCAGCAGGAGGCCAGTCCCTGTGCTCCTCAGAGTCCCAGCAGGAGGCCAGTCCCTGTGCTCCTCAGAGTCCCAGCATGAGGCCAGTCCCTGTGCTCCTCAGAGTCCCAGCATGAGGCCAGTCCCTGTGCTCCTCAGAGTCCCAGCATGAGGCCAGTCCCTGTGCTCCTCAGAGTCCCAGCAGGAGGCCAGTCCCTGTGCTCCTCAGAGTCCCAGCAGGAGGCCAGTCCCTGTGCTCCTCAAAGTTCAAGTTGGTTCATACGGCATTAACATGTTACAGATGTACTTTGGTGTGAGGCTATGTGAGGCTATTCTCTGAGACCAGGAATAATGTGAGAGGACTTCAGAACAGAGACTTGAGACCAGGACTAATGCCATGGTACTTCCCGGTTCTCGTCAGGACTGGAGCTGCAACTTTTTGTGTTGGTTTGTTTTGCTCTGAGGCTGCAATTAAACTGTTACAATCCAGATTTCAGAGAAGAGTGACAGTGAAGCCAAACCTCACTGCTTATGAAGAAATGTGACACTTTTTGAAGATAAAGGCACAGAACATTCAGTCCTGGAGTAATGACAGGAGGAGTAGAGAAGCAAAGGGAGAGAGGAGGCGCGAGGGGAGAGAGGAGGTGTGAGAGGAGAGAGGAGTGAGTGGAGAGACGAGTGAGAGGAGAGAGGAGCAAGAGGATGGAGGAGCGAGTGGAGAGAGGAGTGAGAGGAGCAAGAGGAGTGAGGAGCGAGTGGGGAGGAGCAAGAGGAGAGAGGAGTGAGAGAGGAGCGAGAGGAGAGGAGCAAGAGGCGAGAGAGGAGTGAGGAGCGAGAGGAGTAAGAAGAGCGAGAGGAGAGAGGAGTGAGGAGCGAGTGGAGAGGAGCAAGAGGAGAGAGAGACAAGCAGAGGAGACAGAAGCAAGAGGAGAGAGGAGCAGAGGAGTGATGAGCGAGAGGGGTGAGGAGCGAGGGGAGAGGAGCAGAGGAGTGATGAGCGAGAGGGGTGAGGAGCGAGGGGAGAGGAGCAGAGGAGTGATGAGCGAGAGGGGTGAGGAGCGAGGGGAGAGAAAGGAGCGAGGGGATAGAGCAAAGGTGAGATGCGCAAGAGGAGGGGAAGAGTGAGGATAGAGGAGAGAGAAGAGCGAGAGAAGCAGGAGGAGAGAGGGTGTGTGGGGAGGTGAAAGTGCTTCTACGTGTGGATCAGAGCCAGAATTTCACTATAGAATTTAGTACATTGATAACTTATGATTTTTATGCTTTATATTGATTTTATCTTGTTTTGTGAAGCACTTTGAGTAGCCGTGTGTATGAACTGTGCTATACAAATATACTTGCCTTGCCAAGTTTTAGGAGCAAACCTCATGACTCAGGTTTACTGTTGGGAAATGTGTCCTCTGCATTTGACCCCTCTGTCAGGAGCAGTGGGGGCCACACAAGACCCAGCTCCAGCTGTTGATGCTCTTCAGAACCGGGGTTGAAGGATTTACCTATTGTGGTAGGGGAAACCGGAGTACCTGGAGGAAACCTATGCAGATACGGAGAGAACATGCAAACTCCATACAGAAAAGGCCTGTCTGGAGGTGGAATCAAACCCAGGACCTTCTTGCTGAGAAGTGAGAGTGCTAACCCCCTGCTGCGACAGCTTAAAGTCTAGTGTATAGTCGCGCGGAGCTTACGGCGGTGACGTGACATCACTAGCAGCGTAAATGGGACCGCTTTGGTTTCCCAGGCAACTCCTGTCAGATCGCCATCACGTGGTTGGTTGTGGGATTACAACATTCTCTTCAAAACTCCGCAAGGGGAGCTCGCGGGTGTACGAGCAACTGTGGCTGCGTAGGTGCAGCGCAACCGCAAACGTAACCAGCGCCGCGCGAGTATACACAAGGCTTAATTGTTTAGTCATTTCTATAAAGCCCCTGTGCGTAACTTTTAGACCAAACACTAAAACAACACTGAAGACCTCTCCAGCGGAACGCGACTCCCTGCTTTAGTCCTGCTTTAGACCTGCTTTAGTCCTGCTTTAGACCTGCTTCAGTCCTGCTTTAGACCTGTTTCAGTCCTGCTTTTGTCTTGCTTGAGAACCCGCATTCTCAAACGTAATGTAACTGTGATAAATCTTTATTTATAATTGACAGACATTCCATTGTAGTTCTGATTACAGGACAGTGTTGAAGAGAAGCTGCTGGAGTCTCATCACAGTCAGAGTCTTGACCTGAATCCAATCTAGACATCTACAGCCTGCTTTAGTCCTTCTGTAGAGCTGTTTTATTCCTGCTATAGACCTGCCTCCTGTTTAGACTTGCGTTAGTTAGTTACTTTTTTTTGTTAGATACTTTGTTGATTCCCGTAGGAGAAATTCAGGTGTCCAGTGGCAGCAAAAACACATCAATCCACACAAACAAAACAAATGAATTGATTATTCTAAAAAGATAAAAATTGAAATAATAAGCAACAGCACTTCAGGTCACAGCAGCAGAGGTGGTGTAGCTGCTTGGTTTGGACCATTTTCTCTGCTCTAGTCCAAAGTAAAAAGCTAAATAATAGCATTTTTCAAAAATTTAGATTTTCTGATTCACTGGAGGACTGCTCCACTTGGTTTGGACCACGAATTTTCTCCGCTCCGGTCTGGACTAGTGCAAAACCATGAACACTGTACTACAGCAACATCTCAGGTAGAAAAAGGAAGAAAATAACAATTGTAAAACTCAAAACAAAACTGTTTAAGAGCTACTTAGGACTTGTTTCCGTTTCAAACGCATTCACAAGTAAGAGAGATGAAATTAGTTGCGCTCTAGACCTGTTCTAGTCCTGTTTAGTTCTGCTTTTGTCCTGCTTGAGACCAGTTTTAGTCCTGGTTTGGACCTGCTTTAGATCTGCTTTAGACCTGCTTTCGATCAGCGTCAGTCTAGTGCAGGGGTCGGGAACCCAAAATGTTCAAAGAGCCATAATTGACAAAAAAACTAAAAACAACATCTGTCTGGAGCCGCAAAAAAATAACAGCCTTGTATAAGGCTTTTATGAAGTTAACACAGGCTGCAAGATGTATTAGCTATATTAGCCTAATATCTAAATGACAAAGTAAAGGCTACAAATACATAATAATCATTCATGATTATCAAATGTGTATTTTCACTGCAGCGTGTCGCACCACGCGTGTCGTGAATGACGCAACACGGGACAACTCTGCTTTAGTTTAACTTCCATTTTTTTTTGCCTTCATGCAATTGTAGAAATACAGTAAATAAATCTGCTTTGGGCTCAGAGGTCACATACCTGCATCACTGTCTGCTCATATCCATCACGTCATAGGCTGAAGTTTGCTGGAGCTGAATTAAAATCCTTAATGGCCTTTTCTTTCACCATCTTTGAGAAGGTTTTGAAGTCTGAAAATAGGTGCTCTGAATTTTTGATGAATGAATCCTTCACGTAATCACCGTTTACGTCATTTTGCGCGTCATTGTTCCTCGTGTTGCAACAAAACTTTTCATTACAAACATGAAGCAGTCCTTCCTCATTGACTGAAAGAAAATGTTCATTCTCATTCTTAGTCCAGTCTTGTTATCGACTCTTTCTCGTTTTAGCTTTGGGATCCATGTGCACTTACAGTCTATGATGCACACACGCCGGTTTGTTTACAGCAGCGGCCGCGCGTCATAGGATATGACGCACTACGTTGACAGAAATGTTGAAATTAGATATTACTTATACATATTTTTACAGCATTTAAAAACGTAAAGATTGTTTTTCCTTCTACAGAAACCACATTCAAACTAGAAATAAAATATAGCCCTCACACTCCATTTTCAGACATTTTTGAAAAGGCTCCAGGAGCCACTCCAGGAGCACTCAAGAGCCGCATGCGGCTCCGGAGCCGCGGGTTGCCGACCCCTGGTCTAGTGTGAGACCTGTTGGGTCCGGCCCCTAGACTCGTTGGGAGGTCTGGGTTGCTGTTGGATCTCCTTAGTTTTGGAAACTTCACATCATTAAATCTTTAATCCTTTAATCCTCAAACACTCAGTGACTTTAGACACAATGAGGAAACTAAAGTCTCTTGTAAAAACAAAAAATGGAAAAAATAAACAAAAACTTATCTCTGAGTTGTTTAGACCCGTGTCGGCTTTTCACCACAGGGAAGACTGGAACCAGAAAGACCATAGTGAGACCAGAGAGAGACCAGAGAGAGACCAGAGGGAATTACATAATAATGGACTATGGCAAGATAAATTTGACTAAAGGCAATATACTGTATGAACAAAGCCTCACAAAGGAACAAGGTGAAATCAAAATATAACAAACATTTTACATCTTTACAGTGTAGAAGGAGACTTTAGGTCCAGATGGGAACAGAATGACCAGTTGACCACTGAGACTGTAGATCCAGGACTGAGGCTGTAGACGTAGAAATCAAGAGGTTCCCAAGTGGGAA